AAACAGTTGTCCCCCGGTCACTCCAGCCCCGGGGGGGGGGGGGGGGGGCGCTCGGCGATGGCCAGCGCGACCGAGAGCCGCTGAGGCCCAAGTCAGACGACACGGCACCAGAGGGTGACCTTTCGCGAGAGAGATCCTAACAGGTGGGCAACGTCGGGCATAAATAATCGCGTTAAGCTCAGCCGGCGCAAACTGAGACAGCCGGCGCAACATCTTGTCATCAGCAATTGCCCGAGCTCCCTCTTTGCCCCCCGCGGGTCGCTGCCACCAAGGACACGGGGCTATTTCCAGCCGCAGGACTCATCTCCTTCGGACTGCAGTGCTGCTCGCGCCGCCGGCTTGCGGAGGGGGGCCCAGCTGGAAAAGAGAAGGAAGGCGGTAGCTGGGGGGCTGAGTTATTCCAGCCCCTCCATGGGGACTGACCGCACCACGCAAGGTCACCCAAGGCAGGAGGAGCTGCCAGCAGCGAGGCCGGCCCCCTTCCGGAGAGACGGCACCTTCGCAGCCCGGACCGCTCGGGGAACAGAAATGCAGGACTGAATGTCGGTGGACACCCTCGCTAATTAACGAGCCTCTGCTAATGAGGCTCTGCGGATTATCCCCCGTGTCATGTGAACAGGTGCGGAGGGATGGCAGGTGGCCGACAGTCGGCCCATAAACACCCCTCGGCCAGCGCCTGTTACAGACTCACATCCACCCGTTTACAAGAACAGGTTCGCAACACAGCGCTCTGTGGGGCAACGCCAACCAGAAACAAGCTCACTGGCTGACGGGAAGGATTTCTGACCTCCCTTGACCTCCCATGGCCTCCAAGCCAAGAGACGGATACTTCAGGTCCACTGAAGTACTGAAGGGAACGGTCAGCCCCTCCACGTGCTGCTAACACAGTTGTGCTTCGCCCACCTGCTTCAGATTCATTATCGAATGACCGAGCAGAGGCTGCTTCCAGACTAAAAAGCAGAAGGGAGGAAAAAGAATAAAGGGTCCTGCCGCTGAGCCCCATCAGGTGTGAGCGGGAGGAAAGCACAGGGACAAGGAACAGAGCAGCCGAGCGAGCGAGCGTCCGGTCGCAGGGAGAAAAGCTGAAATCTGTCAATGAACAGAGGAGTTCTAAAAAGAGCTCAAGCATGGGGGTGAGGAAGAGGATGAGTGTGGCTGCTGCTTATGCGGAGTGGGGATCCTGGAACCCCCTGGGAAAGGGTGCAGACAGAGGGGGCAGGGAGAGAGAGGTCTTCTCCCTCTGCCCCTCACGCCCTCCTGCCTGCCCCTGGGCAGGGAGTCAGCTGCAGCACCCTCGCGCCCGTGCGGCCCACACGCTGACCGGCACGAGCGACCGCTCAGGACGCTCAGGACGCTCAGGACGCTCAGGACGCTCAGGACGCTCAGGACGCTCAGGACGCTCAGGACGCGCGGAAGCGAGCCCCCACTCTCCGCCACTGAGCACACAGCCTAGCCCCGCCTCCAGCAGCGGAGCCAGGCGGGCGAGGAGCGAAGCACTCGGCACTTGTGGAACGGGCTCTCGGAATCTACTTACACTCATTTGGAAGTAATTTATCGGCACTCCACGGCTTTACATTCTCCTAATCGTCTCACGAAACGCATTTCATGTAAAAAAAAAAATGGGATCCAGGTGTCCCCAGATTACAGACTTCCAATTACACGGAGAAGTCGCGGACTGACATAAGTGATTGAATTAATTGCCCTCCTTGTCTAATTAGATTTCTGCTCAACCCCCCCCCAGCCCCTTGACACCAATCCGTGTCAAGT